ACTCATAGAGACCTCACACACACACAGACTCATATACGCTCATAGAGACCTCACACACACACAGACTCATAGACACTCATAGAGACCTCACACACACACACAGACTCATAGACACTCATAGAGACCTCACACACACATACAGACTCATAGACACTCATAGAGACCACACACACACAGACTCATAGACACTCATAGACACCTCACACACACACAGACTCATAGACACTCATAGAGACCTCACATACACAGACTCATAGACACTCATAGAGACCTCACACACACGGACTCATAGACACTCATAGACACCTCACACACACACAGACTCATAGACACTCATAGAGACCTCACATACACAGACTCATAGACACTCATAGAGACCACACACACAGACTCATAGACACTCATAGAGACCTCACACACACACAGACTCATAGACACTCATAGAGACCTCACACACACAGACTGATAGACACTCATAGAGACCTCACACACACAGACTCATAGACACTCATAGAGACCTCACACACACAGACTCATAGACACTCATAGAGACCTCACACACACAGACTCATAGACACTCATAGAGACCTCACACACACACAGACTCATATACACTCATAGAGACCTCACACACACACACAGACTCATAGACACTCATAGAGACCTCACACACACAGACTCATAGACACTCATAGAGACCTCACACACACACAGACTCATAGCCACTCATAGAGACCTCACACACACACAGACTCATAGACACTCATAGAGACCTCACACACAGACTCATCGACACTCAGAGACCTCACACACACAGACTCATAGACACTCATAGAGACCTCACACACACAGACGCATAGACACTCATAGAGACCTCACACACACACAGACGCATAGACACTCATAGAGACCTCACACACAGACTCATAGACACTCATAGAGACCTCACACACACACAGACTCATAGACACTCATAGAGACCTCACACACACAGACTCATAGACACTCATAGAGACCTCACACACACAGAGACTCATAGACACTCATAGAGACCTCACACACACACACACACAGACTCATAGACACTCATAGAGACCTCACACACAGACTCATAGACACTCATAGAGACCTCACACACACACAGACTCATATACACTCATAGAGACCTCACACACACAGACTCATAGACACTCATAGAGACCTCACACACACACAGACTCATAGACACTCATAGAGACCTCACACACACAGACGCATAGACACTCATAGAGACCTCAAACACATACAGACTCATAGACACTCATAGAGACCTCACACACAGACTCATAGACACTCATAGAGACCTCACACACAGACTCATAGACACTCATAGAGACCTCACACACACAGACTCATAGACGCTCATAGAGACCTCACACACACAGACTCATAGACACTCATAGAGACCTCACACACAGAGACGCATAGACACTCATAGAGACCTCACACACACAGACGCATAGACACTCATAGAGACCTCAAACACATACAGACTCATAGACACTCATAGAGACCTCACACACAGACTCATAGACACTCATAGAGACCTCACACACAGACTCATAGACACTCATAGAGACCTCACACACACAGACTCATAGACGCTCATAGAGACCTCACACACACAGACTCATAGACACTCATAGAGACCTCACACACAGAGACGCATAGACACTCATAGAGACCTCACACACACAGACTCATAGACACTCATAGAGACCTCACACACACACACAGACTCATAGACACTCATAGAGACCTCACACACACAGACTCATAGACACTCATAGAGACCTCACACACACACAGACTCATAGACACTCATAGAGACCTCACACACACACAGACTCATAGACACTCATAGAGACCTCACACACACAGACTCATAGACACTCATAGAGACCTCACACACACAGACTCATAGACACTCATAGAGACCTCACACACACAGACGCATAGACACTCATAGAGACCTCACACACACACAGACTCACAGACACTCATAGAGACCTCACGCACAGACTCATAGACACTCATAGAGACCTCACACACAGACTCATAGACACTCATAGAGACCTCACACACACAGACTCATAGACACTCATAGAGACCTCACACACACAGAGACTCATAGACACTCATAGAGACCTCACACACACACACAGACTCATAGACACTCATAGAGACCTCACACACAGACTCATATACGCTCATAGAGACCTCACACACAGACTCATAGACACTCATAGAGACCTCACACACACACACACACAGACTCATAGACACTCATAGAGACCTCACACACACAGACTCATAGACACTCATAGAGACCTCACACACACACAGACTCATAGACACTCATAGAGACCTCACACACAGACTCATCGACACTCATAGAGACCTCATACACACAGACTCATAGACACTCATAGAGACCTCAAACACACACAGACTCATAGACACTCATAGAGACCTCACACACAGACTCATAGACACTCATAGAGACCTCACACACAGACTCATAGACACTCATAGAGACCTCACACACACAGACTCATAGACGCTCATAGAGACCTCACACACACAGACTCATAGACACTCATAGAGACCTCACACACACAGACTCATAGACACTCATAGAGACCTCACACACACAGACGCATAGACACTCATAGAGCCCTCACACACACAGACTCATAGACACTCATAGAGCCCTCACACACACACAGACTCATATACACTCATAGAGCCCTCACACACACACAGACTCATAGACACTCATAGAGACCTCACACACAGACTCATCGACACTCATAGAGCCCTCACACACAGACTCATAGACACTCATAGAGACCTCACACACACACAGACTCATAGACACTCATAGAGCCCTCACACACACACAGACTCATAGACACTCATAGAGACTTCACACACACAGACTCATAGACACTCATAGTGACCTCACACACACAGACGCATAGACACTCATAGAGACCTCACACACACAGACTCATCGACACTCATAGAGACCTCACACACACAAATTACGGTGCAAGCACTAAAAACACGTGCTCACCTCTCAGCCCATCATCTCTCCGTATTTGATCAAACTAGTACCACGTTGTGGGGATATGAGTAACGCAGGATAGCCTCATCCTTGCCATAGGAATGTGGAATTTCCACCACTGGCTCAGGGCTTATAAGCAGCAGATGAGCAATGCCTTTTACGCTCTATTCGAGTAGGAAACCGCTTCCAGACTTTTGTTTTGACGATCAAACTCCCGCTCCGACACGAGCTTCACGCGTCCCACCGCGGCTCCAAACACTGGGGAGGTGCGGTGAGCGAACAAGGAGGGGAGGTGACGAGTTGGTTGGGGGGGCGGGGTGTGAAGGCCGGGACGGGCCGTCCTGCCGGCGACGCGACGACCCGCGCGACGTGCAACTCCCGGAGTGTGAGCGTTGGGACGTATTGGCGGTACACCGGAGCAGCATAACACACCGGTTCTCATAAAATTCTAAAAATAATTGAAGTCAAAATTTGAATCGGCAAGTCTGTTTATCGGTCTTTAATTGACCCCGTCGCCAAGTTTGACGCGAGTCGAAGGTTTCTTCTTCTGACTGTTGATTGGGTTCCTTTCAATCGAGGAACCGCCCGGCCCAGTCTCGGGCACGAGGAGTCAAATCACGGGGGGTGGTGTGGCACGTGCCCCCCAATGATCCGATCGAAATCCCTAATAAATCGGCATTTTCCAACCCCCACTGCCACTGCGTAGCATATGATTACGTTCCAGGGACTCTATGAGATGATAGGACAATAGTCTGAGTACATAATTGGCAGTAAGTAACGGCAAAGCAGTTATAAGTGACTCAGAATTTTGCGCAGTTGCGTATACAGGACACGACTTCCCTGAAGGCATTCACCTACAGTGAGTGCGATGCCGATCACACAACACGGTTCGAATTCGACCCTCGATTGATGGCTGCGCTATCGCCGGACACGCGTCGAATAAAACAACAACTATCATTTTTCATTGCTGGAGGGGTTGCCCCTCTACCTGAAAATCCTGGCTCCGCCATTGGAGCCAACCAATCGTCTTCAGGCTGGGTGTGGCTATACGGCAACAGACTGTGAAGCTTCGTGCTCAGCCCGCTCGAATGAGCATTCGGTCTTCTGACTGCTTCTCCATGACGATAACTGATTTTGACTGTGTGCCCTGATAGTTTTCATGGTGGTAGTTGTATTCGTCGCTTGGTTCCATTAATGAACATCTGTAACTTCTTCTGTCTGGTATCTTTGTCTCTTAATAAGTACAGTAAAACCTTGGATTGCGAGTAACTTGGTCTGCGAGTGTTTTGCAAGACGAGCAAAATTTTTAAATAAATATTAATTTGATAAACGAGCGAGGTGTTGCATTATGAGCAGTACGTATACGCTCTGTCTACCGAGCGTCACGTTATCACAACTGATATACGAGTGCTTTGATATACGAGTGCTTTGGATTACAAACATGTTTCCGGAACGAATTATGCTCGCAATCTAAGGTTTTACTGTAAGTAACCAGGGTTGGATTGGATTATTTCGCCTGGAATTTCACCAAAATCTGCCGCATAACGCTAACTCACGTCCCTCCTTGGGCGAATGACAATCATCCTGGCCTCTTGACTCCTCGCCGGGTTAAGCAAGTGCACTTGACATACGACTGTACGGCATGCCTTCAACAAATACCCTGCGGTGAATTTCCTCCATCTGTTCTGTTGTTGTTGTGGTGTTATTGATGTGGTGTTGTTGATGTGTTGTGGTGTTGTGTTGTTGCTGTGGTGTTGTTGGTGTGTTGTGTTGTTGATGTGTTGTTATTGTGGTGTTCATATGTTGTGGTGTTGTTGGTGTGGTGTGCTGTTGTCGATGTGTTGTTGCTGTGGTGTCGTGTTGATGTGGCGGTGGTGTTGTGTTGTTGCAGCTCCCCGGGTGACGCGGCGCGTTCTTGGAGGAGAGCCGATGTCCTCTCGTGCCCCCCGCCCCCGTCGTCAACCCATGAGCCGCAGCGCCTGAATTCTCATACCCCGGATGAATGCGCCGGCCCGCAGGTGGGACGTCGCCGCGTCCCGTCTCCATCCCGCGGCCACCGCGAGCCGGTTCCCACCTTGCCGCGCCGGGCAGACCTCGACGTGAAGCGGCAGGCACAGTGACCGCTGATCCAGCACCCACCGCTCTGCCCTCTCGCCGGTGGTCAGTCGCCCCCTGCTCACTCTTCTGTCGCTAATAACATTGGTTCCTGTTCCCTTGAATTTCACTCACTCACTCACTCCCTCGCTCAAGTCCTCCACACCCACTCCACTCCACCCACCCCACCCCAATCCACGACGACCCCCCCACACCACCACCCCACCCACCCCACACCACCCACCCACTACACCCCACCACACCCACCCCCACACCACCCACCCCAAATAACCCACCCACTCCACCCACTCCTCCCCACCCCAATTCACTACACCCACCCCACCACACCCAACCCACACCACCCACCCCACCCATCCCACACCACCCACCCACCCACTCCACCCACTCCACCCCACCCCAACCCACCACAACCCACCACACCCTCCCTACAATCCACCACACCCACCACACCCACGATTAAGCGGTTCAGGTGCTGGGCGGATCGTCGCATCTCACGACCTTGAGAAGCGGCGGTATCTTGGGGAGGCCACCATCCGGCAGCGGATTGACAGGAGGGGACGTCCGTGATGGGCCTGTCGTCAACATCGTCAGGGTCTCCGTGGTTGAAGGAGGACGTTCATTGCGTTCCCATGGGTTTGTAGTCCTGCTTGGTGGGAGCTTTGAGCCAGCAGTGGAGAGTCCACGTTGCCGTGGTTTGAGTCGGTCTCTCCGTAGGAGGGCTGCTGTTGACGTCACACAAAGTGGTACCTCATGTATCAGCCTCGGGGAGGGGGGTGGGGGGAGACTGCCCCACCTTCCCAACTACACTGCAGGCATCACAACAACACTCACTCACCCACTCACCACACTGCAGGTCACAACAACACTCACTCACCCACTCACTACACTGCAGGTCACAACAACACACTCACACACTCACCACACTGCAGGTATCACAACACACCCACTCACCATACTGCAGGTATCACAACAACACACCCACCCACTCACCACACTGCAGGTCACAACAACACACCCACTCACTCACCACACTGCAGGTCACAACAACACACTCACCCACTCACCACACTGCAGGTCACAACAACACACCCACCCACTCACCACTCTGCAGGCATCACAACAACACTCGCCCACTCACCACACTGCAGGTATCACAACAACACTCACTCATCACACTGCAGGTCACAACAACACACCCACCCACTCACCACACTTCAGGTATCACAACAAAACACTCACCTACTCACCACACTGCAGGTGTCACAACAACATACTCACCCACTCACCACACTGCAGGTCACAACAGTCACTTACCCACTAACCACACTGCAGGTCACAACACACCCACCCACTAACCACACTGCAGGCATCACAACAACACACTCACCCACTCACCACTCTGGAGGCATCACAACAACACACACCACACTGCAGGCATCACAACAACTGTTTCTCTTTCTTTGCTCCACTTTGGAATTCCCTCCCCGTCGTTGTTTTTTTCCAAGCTCTCGTAACAGCCTCGCTGAATTCAAGACACGTGTTACACTCTCTGATCTATTACAACATTAATGGTGCTGTTTGTTACTGGCCACATTACGTTATGGACCATTGGGCCCTGTCCTCAGCAACTCTGTTTAAAAGTACACAGAGATCAGCGTGCATCTGTATGCTGTGTACATGGCACAATACATGTGATACGGCTTAGGCTGATTGGTATTTATCTTTGCTGTGGGGATTTATTGGAGCCTCCGTGTTACGTTGCGCAGGGTTTAATGGGTTGTTTACAATGCACGGAGGCTTTTCCCTGCGCCCCCCAATATGCCTCCATGCTCCTTGGGAATCTGCATAAAGCCATCTATCTATTAACCCATCCGTCCATAAATCCATACATAAACCCATCCATTAGAAACCCATCTGTCCGGAACCCATCCTTCCATAAACCCATCTGTCCATGAACTCATCCATTCATGAACCCATCCTTCCATGAACCCATCCGTCCATAAACCCATCTGTTCATAAACCCATCTGTCCAAAAACCCATCAGTCCATGAACCCATCCGTCCATGAACCCATCCGTCCATGAACCCATCCGTCCATGAACCCATCCGTCCATGAACCCATCCGTCCATGAACCCATCCGTCCATGAACCCATCCGTCCATGAACCCATCCGTCCATGAACCCATCCGTCCATGAACCCATCCGTCCATGAACCCATCCGTCCATGAACCCATCCGTCCATAAACCCATCCGTCCATGAACCCATCCGTCCATGAACCCATCCGTCCATGAACCCATCCGTCCATGAACCCATCCATCCATGAACCCATCCGTCCATGAACCCATCCGTCCATGAACCCATCCGTCCATGCACCCATCCGTCCATGAACCCATCCATCCATGAACCCATCCGTCCATGAACCCATCCGTCCATGAACGGTGACCAATGTGTTTGTGAGTAGTGTGTTTGTGAGTAGTGTGTTTGTGAGTAGTGTGTTTGTGAGTGGTGTGTTTGTGAGCGGTGTGTTTGTGAGCAGTGTTTGTGAGCAGTGCGTTTGTGAGTAGTGCAGTGTGTTTGTGAGCGTGTTTATGAGTAGTGTGTTTGTGAGTAGTGTGTTTGTGAGCAGTGTTTGTGAGCGGTGTGTTTGTGAGCAGTGTTTGTGAGCAGTGCGTTTGTGAGTAGTGCAGTGCGTTTGTGAGCGGTGTGTTTGTGAGCGTGTGTTTGTGAGTGGTGTGTTTGTGAGTGGTGTGTTTGTGAGTGGTGTGTTTGTGAGCAGTGTGTTTGTGAGCAGTGTGTTTGTGAGCAGTGTATTTGTGAGTGTTGTGTTTGTGAGTGGTGTGTTTGTGAGCGGTGCGTTTGTGAGCGTGTGTTTGTGAGCGGTGCGTTTGTGAGCGGTGCGTTTGTGAGCAGTCCAGAGAGGCGAGTGTCGCCAGATGGAGGAGGATGAGGGACGATGTCGCTCTGATTGACGACCACAAAGCAGCGCTCCTATCGAGTGAAATGCATTTCAGTGAAAGCTCACCCCCCATTGGTTTCTAAATCATGTGATCGATGCCACTTAAAGTGGCGCTTTTCAGTTTCATTGACAGCTCGGTCTGTTTCTAGAGAGTCGTTTTGTCACTGGCGAGGAAGCCGGCATTTTGTCAAAGGGATGTTTCTGACTGGGGTTGTCGCGTCTCTCCGGAGAGCGACGGGGCAGACTCGCTGACATTAATGTTTGCGGTATTTCTAGTTTTCGTCGGATTACGGACAGATCCGAGTTGTCCATCGGTCAATCGGCGCTCTCGTCTATAAACTACCGTCGCAGTCGTGTCAGCCGTGGTCAATCAACTAAAAGTGGTTTGGGGGGGCGGGGGGGGGACCGCCCACCGTGGCCCCCCTCCCCCGCGCGCGGCCACCAATCGGAGCGCAGCCACGCGGCGCAGTGGCGCCGCTTGAGCCGCTCAGTGCCTCCTTAGGCGACGCAGCGATCGCTAATCGGCTCCTGATCTCCGCACGCGCGCTCGTGAGCCCGCCCCTGCCCGCCGGCCGCTTGTCTGGTGCCCGCCCGCGGGGCCGTCTGGCCCCCTGGGCAGCGTCCCCGGGGACCGCAGCGCTGCCCGGCGCTGGACGGGGCAGTGACCGCGACCTCGCCCCCCGCGCACGGGAGCCCAGTCCTGACCCTGACCTCTCGGCGGCGGTGCCGGCGGTGAGGGCGGTGAGGGCGGTGGGGGCGGTGGGGGTGATGAGTGTACAGCGGCCTGCAACCGGCGGAGCGTGAGGCTCGTGAGCAGTAAAGGCGGCGTGTGCGGTGGTTGCCGTTGGCGGGCTGAGGCGTGGCCAGTGACAGCTGCTCCTGTGCGTGCGTGTGAGCTGTATGGTGTGTGTGTGTGTTAGCTGTGTGTGTGTGGTGTGTGTGTGTGAGCTGTGTGTGTGTGGTGTGTGTGTGAGCTGTGTGTGTGTGAGCTGTGTGTGTGTGAGCTGTGTGTGTGTGAGCTGTGTGTGTGTGAGCTGTGTGTGTGTGTGAGCTGTGTGTGTGTGTGAGCTGTGTGTGTGTGTGAGCTGTGTGTGTGTGTGAGCTGTGTGTGTGTGTGAGCTGCGTGTGTGTGAGCTGCGTGCGTGTGTCCGTGTAGCATGCTACAAATCGCCCCATGTCCGTGCCGCGTGCCCGATGCACGATGAGCCAACGTTGATTCCCTTTCTATGGGGCGGCGCGCTCAGCAGCAACCGTCCGGCTCCCGTGACCACGGATCGCCGCCCGTTCCTTGCCAAGTGAGATCGTGCCGGGCGTCGCCCGTGGTCACGGCAGGCGCGCGAGCTGCTGCTCATGCTGCACTGCTGCTGCTACTGCTGCACTGCTGCTGTGCTGCTACTGCTGCACTGCTGCTGCTGCTGCTCATGCTGCTGCTCCTGCTGTGCTGCTGCACTGTTGCTGCACTTCTGCTGCTGCTGCTCCTGCTGCACTGCTGCTGCGATGCTGCTGCGCTGCTGCTGCTCCTGCTGCACTGCTGCTGTGCTGCTGCTGTGCTGCTACTGCTCCTGCTGCACTGCTGCTGTGCTGCTGCTGTGCTGCTGCTGTGCTGCTGCTGCTCCTGCTTCACTGCTGCTCCTGCTGCACTGCTGCTGCTGCCGCTGCGCCGGTGCAACGCCGAGCAACTCATTCGTCGTGCCCCGTTGCACTGCCGCAGCGTCGGCACCTTCTGTCGCCGAACGGCGCTGGTCGCGGGCGTTTTCCCGGCCAGAAGGATCGGCCCCGAGCGGCGGGCGGGGTCGATGGTGGCTGTGCGTGCGTCATGACCGTCACGGTGGGTTGACCTCCTCCTAGAATCCTAGTTGATCAGGAGCGGCCTTTGCTGCCTGCTTGTATGTCAGCCATTACGCAGCGCCATACTCTCTTAATCGTAATAAGATCACAATAAAATAGCCCTTTGTCAATCCACTGCTGGATTTAGGCCTCTCCTTGTCAGTTATGGGAGTTGATTGACCATACTTCACCACGCCGATTGTTCAAGGGAGGGCCCGGGACCGTTTCTCATCTCGGCCGTTGCTGATGCTAACCGTGGCCGGCAATCAAACTCTGGGGCGGTCTCCACCGGCCCAGCGGCCGAGGAGGCCCCGAGGGCGGATGGCGGGCGACCGTCATGGCGGGTCTTGGAGGCCGCCGCGTGTCTCGGCGGCGGGGACGGCGGGGGGGGTGGGGGGACGACCTCACCGCGGCCTCGACGTCGCCCGCAGGACCGCCGCGCCCGCCAACGCGGCGGCATGGAGCTGGGCAAGGCGAAGCTGCCGCGCTGCGGCATCAACGCCCTGCGACGCGCCGTGCACCCCTCGCTGGGCCTCGCGTGGACCGACGGCAAGCGGCTGCTGCTGTCTGGCCTCCACGCGGGCCGAGAGGAGGAGGAGGAGCCGGAGGAGGCGGCGGTGGTCGGGCGACTGGGCGGCGCCGCGACGCTGGGCAGCTTCGAGCACGTCTACGGCGTGAGCTGGGGCCCCACCGACCCCGCGCTGCCCGCGCTGCTCGCCGTGCAGCACAAGAAGCATGTCACCGTCTGGCAGGCGAGGGCAGCGGGCGCACGCGGAGCGGTGGAATGAATAACCCGTTTTCGTGGCACCCACTCGCCCACCCACCCTCTTACCCACCCACTCACCCACCCACCCTCTTACCCACCCACTCACCTACCAACCCACCCAGTCACTCAATCAAACCAACGCACCCGGTCCACCCACCCACCAGAACCACCCACCAGATCCACCAACTGAACAACCCACCCACCAAACTCGCGTAACCCACACACCCACTCACTCACTCGTCCATTCACCCACCGAACCCACCCCACTCAACCCATCCATCCACCCACCCATCCACCCACTCAAACCAACCCACTCATCAAATTTTGATTTAAAGCTTTCGTGACTGCAGTAATTCATATTCTTATTGTTTCCCTTCAACGTGACTTTACTGAAAGAGCTAAGAATATGAACCCACTCATCCTTCATCCAGCAGTGGAGTGACACGGGGCCGTACAGGCAGCGGGCACGGTGTATGGCCTGCGGCGTCCGTGCGGAAGCCTCACCGTGGCGCGGGACCTTCTCGCTCTCCTCCCCTCGCCCTCACCAGGTGACGCCCGCCGGGTGCAACGACGCTCGTCCGGCGTGCTCGCGGCTTTGCGAGCGCGAGGAGCCGTTCGCCATCCTGCCGCAGGGCTGCGTGTGGCACCCGCGCTCCGAGACGCTGGTACTGCTGACCAAGCGCGATGCCTGCCTGCTCTACTCGCTGCGCTCCGACGCCCGCTCCGTCCGCGCCGACATCCGCGGCAGCGGCCTGGTGCGCTGCGCGGCATGGACGACGGACGGCGCGCGCCTGGTGCTGGCCGTGGGCACGGCGCTGCACTCGTACCTGTGGGACGAGCCCAGCCGCTCGCTGCAGCCGTGCGGCTTCTCCCACGTGCTCGACGTGGGCGGCTATGTTTGTGCCGTGGAGGCCGCGTGCGACGCCCGCGTGCTCGTGGCCACCGAGCTGCCCCTGGACCGCGTCTGCGGCCTCGACGCGGCCGGCGCGCCCTTCGAGCTGCCCGGGGTGGCGTTCGACGGCGCGCCGGGCTCCTCGCCGAACACGCTGCGCCCGCGCGAGGGCGCCGAGGACGGCGCCACGAGGCCCCGCGGGCGCTCGCCGGAGCCCCGCGGCGGGTTCGTGGCGGACGACGGCACGGGCCGCGGGCCCGTCGTCGACCTCACGCACCTGCTGGCCCACCACCGCAAGTCCGACCCCGGGCCGCTGATCCGGCTCAAGCGCAGGGACCTATCGAGCGGCGGCGGCGGCGACGACGACAGCTCGCACCTCCTGCTGGTCACGCTGGACCAGAAGGCGACGACCACCAGGAAGGTGCGCCTGCCGGGGCTGCTGGTGCCGGACCTGCTGGCCTACGACGCGACCGCCGACACCGTGGCCGTCGCCTCCAACACGTCCGCCTCGGTGCTCGTGTACTCCCTGAGCGGCCGCGGGATCTCGCCACTGCAGCACGTCACGCTGGGGCGCGACGAGCGGCCCAAGGGGCTGTGCTTCCTGGCCCCGTCGCACTCCCTGGCGATGCTGGTCGGCCGCCAGAAGCAGTCGGAGCCGGCGTTCCTGCCCTGCGCCAGCACGGACCGCTACGCGCTGCGGCTGGTCGTGCGCGACGTGGTGGTGGAGGGGCCCGGCCGCTCGTCCCCGCGGGCTGGCGCCCGGCCGCCCGAGGGCCGCGACGCCAACCCGGGCCCCGCGAGCGGGCTGTGGGAGCTGTGGCCGCCCGGCGACGAGCCACGCCGGCAGGCGTCCTCGCCGCGCCGGTTGACGGAGGAGCCCTCGGGGGCCTCCGCGGACGACCGGCGGCCGCGTCGCCCGAGCGGGGAGGCCGCAGGGCGCTTCGCTCGCGACGTCTCCCCGCCGCTCGAGAGCGTCGAGCGCGAACCGGCGGGCGGGGCCGCGAGGCCGCGGGGCAGTCCGGAGCCTCGCCGGCCCGGCGGGGGTGCGCCGCGGAGGGCACCCAGCCCTCGCGACGCCGAGCGGGACGGCCCGGCGCGGGGGCCCGTGGGCCGAGCGGCGAGCCCCGGCCCGTGGGATGCCGAAGGCTCGGCCGCGAGCCGCGCGCTGCGGGGGCTTTGGGAGCGGCTGGACCGCGTGCAGGCCGAGGTGGGCGAGGTGCGGCAGCTCGTGCTGGCGTTGCGGCCGGAGCGGCGAGTGCTGGCCGCATCGGGCCCTCCACGCTGGGCGAGAGTTCGCTGCCAGCCGCGGGTAAGGGCCCCATTCCACTCGCACGGTCTCACGCAGCCACTTGTCATCGCCACGATCATCGTCGGACATGGGTCAATCCACTGCTGGATGGAGACCTACCACAGCTTGTGTTGGTGCATGCTGATTTATAAACTCTCTTCACTGAATGGCTGGGGGTAGCCCTGGCAGCATCGGTGGCCTGAGTTGCGCGTCTGGGGGCTCTGCATTCTCTTGGCTACGGATAATGGGTTCCGTAGCAAACACAGACGGTGCTGAGTGGGGCTAGGACGGAGTGCGTGTGGGAACTACACCAGAGTGGTCGTGATTGGGGGGGGGGGGGGGGGGGCGCTACACCAGAGTGGTCGTGATTAGGGGGGGTAGCACTGTATATATGTATATATGCAGCATTTTAATTGTTTAAATTGTATGTCGTGTATAATGTACTGTATATATTATTTGACACTGAAATAAAGCATAGCTGCTTTTTTTTACACGCATGTGGAGAGCTGATCTCCGGACTGGTACAGCCTTTGGAGCGGTTTTCCAGCGATCGCCGGATTACATGCCAGTTTCACCAGATCGGCGCCGGATAATGTTGGAAGTTGGATAATCAATCGATTATCTACTGTGCATCTCCTTCACGTAGCTGCCCCTCCACATGAAAATAAAAAGTATTGTCTACGCATCCCTTCGGCCCCACGGCCTTCTGGGAGGGCTTAATTTCCAAGCTGTGGACCGGTTCCGACGGCCAGTGTCTCTCATCAGCAGAGTCTATATTTAATGTGCTCCTTGGCCTTCTCCACCGTGACGCTCGTGAGTACGTTCTATATCCTGCACAGGATAATGAACAACGTCGTCGTAACGCCCGCGGCTCGAAGGGCGCCTCTCTCTGTGTGGAGTCTGAATGTTCTCGCTCTCCTCCCCCCGTGTTCGGCACGGGCTTCCCCTGCGTGTTATCCGGTTTTCTCCCAAAGCTAAACCCACCCGCACAGTGGAACTGCTTTTGGCCAAAACCTACCCAATGCTGAGAAATTGCCTGAAAATCAGTCTAAACTAAACGAAACTATTTTATTTTTTTACCGGGTCGTGCCCACTGAGCTATGCAGCTTTTCTTCAGAAGCAACCTGGCCACAAATGATGGGTCAACGAAGTGGCTTATCGCATGGAAATTTCACGCAGCCAAATACTCTAAACGCGTGATGTTGGTTCTAAATGTGGAGGGAAAAACTGGACGACCCGCAGGAAAAATCCACGCGACCACGGGGAAAACACACAAACTCCAAATATACAGCAGATGTACGATGTCGGGAATCGAACCTAAGTCCTCCCGTAGACCAGGCGAGGCAGTTAACATCTCGCCACCGTGGCGCCACAATCGATTGGGATCGCACAGCAGGAGCACCTGCGTCATCGCCCCCCCCCCCCCACTTCACAGACGCCCTCCTGAACAAGAGTCTTGCGGCATTCCCGGTTAAACAAGCGCAATGACAAAGATAGTAACAACAACAACAATAAATCGTTGAGTTCCAGGTGGGCGCGTTGACTGTGCCGCCGTGGCGTTTCCGCCCCGCAGGGTGGCGGCAACGCGGCACCCGCGCAGGAAGCGGAGACGCGGAACTTCCTGCTGAGCAGCGGGGGCCTCGTGCGGCTCGACGCCCTCCGGAGCGCCTTCCAGCTGTCTGCCGTCGAGATGCTCTTCGGTAGGCCGTCCGCCCCCGCCCTCCGCCGGCCTCCTCGTCTGTCGGCGGCCAGGCCTCATCGCCGGCCGCTCCCCTGCCCGGTTGCGACGCCACGCGGCGCTCGCGGGCCGGTGCCGTGTTGTGAGATGTTAACTACATCGCCGGGTACATAGGAGGTCGAGGGATCGATCCCGACCGCTGACGCCTGCTGTATATTTGGAGTTTGCGGTGTCTCTCTCTCCCTGTGGTCGCGTGGATTTTTCTCCGGTTCCTCCGGTTTTTCCCTCCACATTTAGAATCGACGTCACACGTTTAGAGTTTTTGGCTGCTATACTTTTCCACGCGATAGGCCACCTCGTACGGCTCAGTGGGCCTTACCTGGTAACATAAAAATTGTTTAGTTTTAGTTTATTCTTTGGTTCTTTAGGTAAAGTCACGTAGAAATAGAAAATAATAATTACATAATATCATACGACGTTTCGATTGCAAAGCAAGCAATCATGATCAGGTACAAATGAAAGAGAAACAAACCTAGTAAACTTAGAAATGGTGAGGCATGGAGAGTGGTGAGGCATGGAGAGTGGTGAGGCATGGAGAGTGGTGAGGCATGGAGAGTGGTGAGGCATGGAGAGTGGTGAGGAATGAAGAATGGTGAGGCATGGAGAGTGGTGAGGCATGGAGAGTGGTGAGGCATGGAGATTGGTCAGGCATGGAGATTGGTGAGGCATGGAGAGTGGTGAGGCATGGGGAGTGGTGAGGCATGGAGAGTGGTGAGGCATGGAGATTGGTGAGGCATGGAGAGTGGTGAGGCATGGAGATTGGTGAGTCATGGAGATTGGTGAGGCATGGAGAGTGGTGAGGCATGGAGATTGGTGAGGCATGGAGAGTGGTGAGGCATGGAGATTGGTGAGGCATGGAGATTGGTGAGGCATGGAGAGTGGTGAGGCATGGAGATTGGTGAGGCATGGAGATTGGTGAGGCATGGAGAGTGGTGAGGCATGGAGATTGGTGAGGCATGGAGAGTGGTGAGGCATGGAGAGTGGTGAGGCATGGAGAGTGGTGAGGCATGGAGAGTGGTGATGCATGGAGAGTGGTGAGGCATGGAGAGTGGTGAGGCATGGAGAGTGGTGAGGCATGGAGAGTGGTGAGGAATGAAGAGTGGTGAGGCATGGAGAGTGGTGAGGCATGGAGAGTGGTGAGGCATGGAGATTGGTCAGGCATGGAGATTGTTGAGGCATGGAGAGTGGTGAGGCATGGGGAGTGGTGAGGCATGGAGATTGGTGAGGCATGGAGAGTGGTGAGGTATGGAGAGTGGTGAGGCATGGAGATTGGTGAGGCATGGAGAGTGGTGAGGCATGGAGATTGGTGAGGCATGGAGATTGGTGAGGCATGGAGAGTGGTGAGGCATGGAGAGTGGTGAGGCATGGAGATTGGTGAGGCATGGAGCACACAAGGGGGCAGTACCGTTGTAAGAGCCATAGCCGGGCTGCAGTTCTCACGTCCTTTTGTTTGGTTACGACAGGCAAATAACGGAACAGCCTTTTCACTTGTTGGGGCAAGTGCTGCACCTATGAAGGTTGGCACGGCACACAAGAGGGTGGGTGGCCAGCACCATGCCCAGCCACCTTTGTCTCCCCAGTGACGATGTTTACACACGCCACACCAGGTATTCATTTGAAGCTGAGTCGACCTCAGGGAGGCCCAGGACCGGTTCAGATAATCCTCACTGGTGTTGGCCATGGGAGAGAATCGAATTTGGGTCGCCAGGTTCGAAATGCAGCGCGCTAACCACTACACTACCTCTCCCCTGTCCAGTGCTCCCTACGCACACCACACGCACACACGATGTGTGCGTGTGGTCTGGGGGAGCGATGGTGGTCGTGGTTATCCCACTTTGTTAAAAACCCGGCGACCTTTGTTCGATTCTTGGTAAGCATCAGTGGTGGTCCTGGGTCTCCCCCAGGTCAACTCGATATTGCTTGAATATCTAGTATGGTGATTAAACATCAACGCTGCAGAGACAAAGGCAGCCGGGCATGGTTCTGGCCACACCATGCTCTTGGCCAGCATTAGTAGGCACTCGCTAACATCACTTGCTCCAACAGACCAAATAAGGCAATGCGTGGAATCTGTATTTGTCATTGTGTGTGTGTGAATTGAGCGGTGGTGGTTAGTGCCCTACTCTATTAACCCAGGGAGACCTGAGTTTCATCTCCGTCCATGATGAACATCATAGGAATCAAATCGTCCTCTGCTGGCCTCACCAGACGATATCTGAATATGGCTCGGGGCCCAGCAGGGCCACAGTCAAGGGGCTATTGAGAGTCGCGCGACTAATCCCTCTGCGCCCGTGTCGCCGGCAGACACGGTGTGGCTGGTGCTGGGCTGCGATGGCGATGGCTTCATCCCCGTCGCGTTCCAGCACGAGCAGGAGGTGCTCGTGCGCGAGGGCCGCGCTGCGAAGCCGCCCGCCGAGGAGCCGCGCGCCTCGGACGCCGCCCCGCACCAGAACGCGACGGGGTAGTCACCGCCCCCGCCACCACCGTTCTCCCTCCTCCTCCTCCTGCTCCTCATCAACGCCGCCCGGGCGGCTCCCGTTCGGTCCGCGGGTGCCGCTGCGGGCGGGCGACGTGAGCTTCTGTGGCCGTGAGCTTCTGTGGCCGGGGGCTCCGCCTGCTGTTGCTGCTGCGGGGAGGATTCCACAGCGTGGTTGAGCCCAGGGCTGTGCCCTCGACCCCCGGGATAGCCCGGCGTCACCGGTTGAGTCCGTCCGTCGCCCTCGCCTGCGGTCGACGTTCTTTGTTTTTACCGCAGCTCGTCGAGCGGCCAGCAAGGAAACGGCATGACTATCGGATGTTGTGAGCGGTAGTGGACGACACATTTCTTGAGTAAGGTTGTTATTATAAACTCTTTTTATGAAGGCCAGGTGAGGCCCACTGAACTTTCGAGCTCTTTTTCAGATGTGACCTGGACACAGATGATAGCTCAAAGAAGTGGCTCATCACGTGTACATTTATAGCAGCCAAATACTCTTAAACGCATGTTGATTCTGAATGTGGAGGGAAAAACCGTAGAACCTGAAGTAAAATTCACGCGAACACGGAGAGAACACGCAAACTCCAAATATATACAGGTGTGGGGGTTGTAAACGCACCCACGACCTCCTGTACACCCAACGAGGTAGTTAACATCTCGCCACCATGGCGCCTTGTAGGAAGTTGGAGAAAAGGAGACGAGGTGAGGGCATTACAAAGTAGATCCGTGCGATGAGAGAGGCATAAATATAAGTGAACTGACCTGCAGTGTGGTGAGGGGGTAGTTGGGCGAGTGGGTGGGTGGTTGGGTGAGTTGAGTGGGTGGTTGTGTGGGTGGGTGGTAGGGTGAGTGAGTGGGTGGTTGTGTGGGTGGGTGGGTGAGTGAGCTGGGTGGGTGGTTGTGTGGGTGGGTTGTATGGGTGGGTGGTTGTGTGGGTGGGTGGTTGTGTGGGTGGTTGGGTGAGTGAGTTGGTTGGGTGGTTGTGTGGGATTGTGTGAGGAGCTGGATTGTGTGAGGAGCTCACAAATCTTTGAAAGATCTGGGCAAGGTCCCATCGGTGAGCTCCTCCGGCAGGCAAGGCTGCGTTGGCTGGGTCATGTAGCCCGCATGCCCAGCCACCGCATGCCGAAACAGCTTTTGTTCGGCCGGATCGAGAGGGCTAAACGGGCGCGGCACGGGCTAGAGAAGAGATGGAGTGATGTGGTACAGGAGGACGTGGAGCTGAGTGGTGCTTGCCGATGACTGGTACCAGCGGTGTCAAGATCGGCCTCTGTGGAGGAGGCTCGTGAAGGACGCTACTGGGCAGTTGGAGGTAGTCGCCCTCAAACAACAACAGAGGGCGGAGGAGCGACGCTCGCAACAACGAGCGGAGCGCCAGGTGGCTAAAGCACAGCAGGTTGGCACAGTAGGGGGCACAGGTGGTGCATCAGCCAGTCATCTCAGTCATCTTAGTAAGTCGACCCGTGGCACTTGGGTGTGCCCCGTGACCTCTTGCCCGCGGGCGTTCGACACTTCACGTGGCCTCAAGGTGCACATGGCCTGGCACAAGCGTCGTGGTGACGTCACCGCCACTTAGTGGCGAATGGCGCTTGTTGTTGTTGGTTGTGTGGGTGGGTGGGTGAGTGAGTTGTGTGGGTGGGTGGTTGGGTGGGTGGTTGAGATGTTGAGACCTGCAGTGTGCTGCTGGAACGCAGTGCGGATGAACCCTTAACATGGCTGGAGGAATCGCCGAGTGGAGTTCACGGAAACAGTAACCCAGGTAGTAGTAGTAGCGATATAAGAGTGATAAGGAGGTGACTGACCACTGGTGAGCGAATTAGAATTACCGCAATCGGCACAACAGCTCAGCCGGGCCGGTCGTGCTCACACACACGCGATGGAAGCCCTGCAGGAAGTCCCCCAAGTGCAACGTCACGAAATCAGCAGACTCGAGCAACACCACCGCGTCTACTTCACATTACCACGGGGCCGTGGATGTGCACAGCTGGCGGTCACGCATCTCGAACATTCACCACCGTTGCCTGGCTTCACTTCCATTCACGTTTTAAAATGTAACCGCTGAACAATCGCGTAGGCGATACACACACACATATACGCCGACACACACACACATATACGCCGACACGAAAACTTATTCGACAATCGCGAACAATATTACACCCGTGGTGCTGCCGCGCGTTGATTACGCGAGGCCGCACGACGGCGGTGTGCGCGGGGGGGGGGGTCACCGTAAGCCGCGGCGCGCTTACCAAGTCTGGCCCCAACAGCTTGGGCAAGGCAGCAAACAGCAGTCTCAGGCCCCAGCAAAACAACAACACAACAGTCTCAATAAAAGTGCACATTAAAATTGAATTTCAGGCAGTCCTAGACTTAAGACGACCCGACTTACGAACAACCGCACTTACGAATCAACTTCCGCAAGATGTGTGTGCGCACGTGCCCCCGCGTGTGTGTGTGTGCGGAGCGGTAGTGCCACGGTTAGCGCACTCCCCTAGGTCGACTCAGCCTCAAATGAGTACCTGGTGCGGTGTGTAAACATCACTGGGGAGACAAAGACGGTCGGGTGTGATGCTGGCCACCCACCCCGGCGTGTGCTGTGCCGGGCTTTGTAAGCGCTGCTCGCTTATAGCACTTGCCCCGAAAGTCCGTAAAGGCTACACGGGGGATCGTTGTTGTTGGGGTGTGTGTGTGCGCGTGCCCGCGTGTGCCCCACTGTGTGTGTGTGTGTGCCCCACTGTGTGTGTGTGTGCCCCACTGCGTGTGCGTGCCAACATGTGTGTGTGCCCCACTGTGTGTGTGTGCCAGCATGTGTGTGTGCCCCACTGTGTGCGTGCCCTCGTGTATGCGTGCCCCACTGTGTGTGTGCCAGCGTGTGTGTGCCCCACTGTGTGTGTGTGTGCGCCCCACTGTGTGTGTGCCCCACTGTGTGCGCGTGCCCCACTGTGTGTGTGCGTGCCCCACTGTGTGTGTGCGTGCCCTCGTGTATGCGTGCCCCACTGTGTGTGTGCCAGCGTGTGTGTGCCCCACTGTGTGCGTGCCCCACTGAATGAGCAGCTATTACCAAATCATCAGCATACATAACGTGGTTGAGCAATAGGGAGCCATCCCTTGACCGCACCCGGGCATCGATCAGCCTCCCATTATATCTGTACCATATGGAGATTCCCCCGGTACAGCTATTGAAGGCTTCACGAACTACGTGGTCGAAATAGATGTTAAATAATGTGGGAGCCAGAGGACATCCCTGTCGCACCCCAAGGTGTACAGGGAAAGGCTAGGACTCCCGGCCACGTAGTTTTACCTGGGCCCACTCACCATCATGAAGGTCCGTAATGATCGTGAGCAGAGGGTCAGGTGCTCCAAAAGCACGAAGAACAACCCAGAGCCCAGGCCTATTGATGGTATCATAGGCCTTGACCAGGTCAATAAAGCAGAGATGTAGATCTTGCTGGAATTCCCTACACCTCTGCTGTAGCAGACGGACAGAAACTATGGCATCTGTGCAGGACCGCCCTTTCCTGAAACCGCACTGGGGCTCCGCAAGCCTCTCAGCGTGCCTGGCAAGGCGATGTTGAATAATCCTTGCCAGGACCTTTCCCGGCACACTGAGGAGTGAAATGCCCCTGTAGTTGTTACAGTCTGTGCGGTCCCCCTTCTTAAAGAGGGGGACCACCAGGGCATCCTTCCAATCCTGCGGAACCTGTCTAGTGGTCCAGACTGTTGTTATGATGTCATATAGGGCAGTCTGTGCACAAACTCCACCCTCCCTCAGCATTTCGCTTGGGAGATCATCTCTGCCCGCTGCCTTTCCTGGTCTCAGACTCCGGATCGCCCTTAGTACTTCCTCATCAGATGGCACCTCAGCCAGCCACTCACAGGGGGTGACTTCTTCCAATATTTGAGGCACCACAGCCTCAGCAGGGTCATCCTCACTTTGTGCCACGATGTTTTCCTGGCTGAGGGATTTTCCCTCCCCCAGGACCTCACAGAAATGCTCAGCAAATCTGCAAACCTGTTCCCCTAATGATGGTAATAGGTGTGGCGCTGCAGGTTACTTTTTTGATGGAGTTAAATAGGGATTTGTGATCGCGGGCCACTGAGGCAGACTCTATCTCCTCAGCAACCCGCGACCACCACCCATCCTTGCAGCGCCTCACGGCTCTCCGAACCTCCGAGGGAAGGTTGCGGTAAGCCTCCTCATTCTCTGACGTGGGATTCTGTAGCCGATGACAGTGGGCCTGTCGCTTTTTCTCAACCATCCTGAACACCTCTGTCAGCCAGGGTCTCTGGGGAGGTCCTGACCGCGTACCCAAAGCAGACATTGCAGCCGCATGAGTCACAGTTATAAACCTCGCCCATTTACCCTCGACATCAGGAGGAGTGGGGGACGATGCCAACCCCAGCCGCAGGCGATGATGAAATTCTCACTTGCAACTTTCATCAGATAACCGAGACCAGGCCACTTTTGGTTGGAATGGGGTCTTGGGTGTACACCCACCACCGGAGCGGAAGAATGGGCGGCGCATCTTACAGATGACAAGTCGATGGTCAGAGGGCAGATCAGCTCCACGGTAGGTCCTGGTGTCAAGAACATGGGCTCGCATCCGCTGGTCCATCACTATGTAGTCCAGCAGATGTTCTTGCTTGGACCCGGCATGCATCCATGATGTGTGGATGCACTGATGCCGGAACAGCGTGTTGGTAATTACAAGTCCATGGGCTGCACAAAAATCTAGCAGCCTCCTACCGTTGTTATTAAGCTGATCCGGCCCATGCCCTCCAATCACTCCAGGCCAGGCGCCAGCATCATGACCAACTCGGGCATTGAAGTCACCCAACAAGATGACTATCCCGAGGGGCCACTTTAGCCAGCACCTGTGACAGGAGGTCATAGAAGGCATCTGACTCATCGGCTTTGCCTGCATCCCTCCACGGATGTTCGTCTTCGGTGGGGGCATAAGTAACCACGACCACCAATCCTCGCCTCCGATTGATGGGAAGGCGAGCCCTAAGTAGCCTGAGGCTTACAGCTTCCCACACCTCACCGCCACGCTCCCACGCCCCCTTCATTCTTTTGTTCAAAAGAAGAGCCA